CAATAAACTACCTAGCACATTCCTGGTTAAATTAACTAATATCCTGGTTAAAAATTATTGATTCAACAAAAATCTGGCCATACTTCTTTGGACTTTTAACCAGGAAAATGGTTTAATTTTTTTAACCAGGATTGTGTAGGTAGGTTTTTAACCCCATCCTGGTTGAATTAACCCAAATTTAACCAGAGTGTTTTTAGAGTGTAGGAACTTTGTAGGATCCTGAATATGATCCTGTAGGATCCTGAATAGGATCCTGTAGGATCCTGAATAGGATCCTGTAGGATCCTGAATAGGATCCTGTAGGATCCTGTAGGATCCTACAGGATCCTGTAGGATCCTGAATAGGATCCTACAGGATCCTGAATAGGATCCTAGTAGGATCCTAGCAAGATCCTGTTAGGATCTTGTCAGGATCCTGTTAGGATCCTGTTAGGATCTTGTTAGGATCCTGTTAGGATCCTACCTAAGATTTCTACCAGGGTTAGATCTAGCTTTTGCCCACAAAAAACAAAATTTGAATCAAGTACATGCGCCATAAAAAAATTATCCGATAATGAAAGCCGAGCTTTTTGTGGCAAGAGGCAACTTGCCCAATCAGGCAAGATAAAACATTTACTTGCCCGTCATGATATTCACTTGCCCCGGGCAAGTGTTAAGTTACACCTCTGTAAACGTTGACTAACATACCTGTAGATAATGAGGTATATATATTGTTATTCTAATGAGTTTCCAAACCATTTATTCTATTAACTATGGTATGTTCCATTTTCTTGTATTATAATAACATTTTTGCTATCATGACATTGAGCTTTGTAAAAAAAACTTTTGGAAGATGTCTTTCACTCTAAGACAGACTGACAGCTTACTTTTGGTCTGTTTATATGGAGTTAACCCAGCCTAGATTAGCCATATTTTTTTAATCACTTTATTGTTATTAAAGTATTTACATTAGCAAATGGTGGCCATACAGGACATAGCCCCAATTGATTACAGCTACAATAGCTTGCTTGGTGTTTCAATTTATGTGACACTGTTGAGGCAAGCATATGCATGGGCTTGCTGGAACAAAGGTACTAAGCAAAAAATTATATTCACACAAGCAAATCTCAAAGTCATGCCACCTAGAGACATGAATTGGTCGAGCCATTTGAATTGGTTGAGCTATGATGAGGTTTAACAACATATTGTCATGATACATCCTCACCTTAATAAGCTCTAATCCTATTTGAGCTGCCACTCATTACCAAGCACTTGGAGGAGGGATACTTTATTAATTTATATTTGACCAGGCAGGCACTAGAAATTTAATTAAAGTAATCTGGGATCACTATACCTACCAATATGCATTAGTTACACAAACCTTCTTTCCAGTTGGGCTAGCCTAGCTGCCCAGCCAAGACTTTTTTTTTCCATGCCTTAGATCTTGGATAACAGCTGGGCATTAAATAATACTCTATTCACATCAATCTATTGATGTAAATAACATTTCTTCATTTCTTTAGGGGGTACCCAAGCCAGCCGGATACCTGAGCTAGCTCGCTTTGCCAAGATCTAACGTCGCTATGTAATTTAAACTAATATTCATCTTGCATTTACATGGAACTGGGCTGGCCTGTCAAGGCAAGATCTTGAGAAGTAAAAAATATTATAGTATACTATTTATAACAGTGATCTGTTTTGGCGAACCAGCCCGCCTCAAAAGTCTTTTGTAAACATGGGATGAAATCATCTCGGGTTACCTGCCCTTACGAAAATTTCCTATAGGAATTCCTATAGGAAAAATTCCTATAAGAATTTGGGACAAAATTCCTATAGGAAAAATTCTTATAGGAATTTTTTCTACAGGAATTTCTATAGGAATTTTGATTTCCTATAGGAATTCCTATAGGAAAAATTCTTATAGGAATTTTTTCTACAGGAATTTCTATAGGAATTTTGATTTCCTATAGGAATTCGTATAGGAAATTTTTGTAAGGGTGGGCTGGCTCGCCTAGGAGATTAGAAAGTTTCAAAGTTAAAATTTATTTTGAAATCTCTCTGAGGGATAAAACCTTCAAAACTGTATTGTTAACAAAAAATTCAGGTAGACAATACCCAGGAAAATTGCCTATTCACATTGCAAGGCTAAAATTATGTACATAATTTCAATAATAAATAAAATAAACAACTTTACCAAGGGCAAGTGAGTCTTTATGGATGACAAGAACAGTAGATTAGTTCCTGATTATTTACAAACATGTATTATTACCTTTCGCACTTTAATATTGTGGAAACATATCTATATTTTTATTTATTTCTGTATATTTTCCTCAGAAGAATGATAAAAAATTCGTAATACCGCGTGCAACGCCGCTGCTAAGAGACTTAAACTAGTACAATAATTGTATATAACATGAAGTTTCCTAAACAAAATGGCGGAAATGTTAATAAAAAATGTTGATGTTTGATCGTAAAATACAAAAAAACTGCAGGTTTGTGCGAGTGACAACAAGTGAATTCGAACTCAGCGTATAAAAATCTATAGATTCATGTCAATTTAAAGTAGTGCCCGAAGGGGGGCAACAAAAATCGTTTTCTAAGCGACTTTTGGGGCCAGGGAATACGGCCTATTTTCTTTTATGCTTTATGGCAGAAAATAAAGCAAACAAACAGTATTTTGAAAGGGCTTTTTCAAAATCTTTGACGAATTTTGGACACGCGACGCTGAAAGAACAGCCAAACTATAGTCATGTATTCGAAAGCTTGTTGTTGACAGCCAAGATGCTCTGCCAACTGGCTTCGCCGGCAAAAGTCTTATTTTTAATATCAGGTCTTACCGGCGTTGTTTTCTGAGCTACATCGCCTTCTTCGTGGTACGATTGAGAATTTCATTGTTGCTGTTGTTAGCCCGTTAGAGTATATCCGCGTCCAGCAAGTTGAGACCTTGAGAAAGATTGGCAGTCCACAGGCGACCCAATCTCGCAAGGGTCAGTATAGACTTATAGTATAAATGTATATTATATTAATGTATATAATAGTAAAAATATGTCGTAAAATATAAATTTTAAAATTAAATTGACTTGCCTACTTGATAGTGTGTGTTCTCCTTTTATTCCTCCTTCGTTGGACTAATATTTTCCGAGACTTTGTACTCGATGTTACTAGTATACATGAAACATGATAAAGGCTAACGATTCCCGATCGTCGATACGACGGCAGGGCACTTCGAATCGAAATTTCTCACACTCAAATCGCTTTATTCTCAAAAAAATTCGCCAGCATGTACAACAAATGCCGTTCTTCGAAAATGTAGAGGTATTTCGGCGAGATGTACAAGTTTTGGACGATATTTTAACAATGGAAATCAAAACCCATTTTATATTGAACTTACCCGGACCGAAAATTACTACGGCGAACGTCTGCGCAACCAGGCCTCCTTTACCGTTGGATTTACAGGGGGGAAGCAGATATTTCCGGTAACAGCCAGCCAATCGTAGCCGCGATAGCGACTGTTTACATTATTTGAAATTTGATATTCAAAATAAAAACTCCTTCGATCGGATACTGTATAAAACTCAAGATGTTGTCGAAGACTTTTAAGAAATTCAGCGTAAAAAATAGTAGGATTTGAAAGCCGTATTTTGACATGGCGCTCTTTGTCGCTAAATATTGTCACAAATGCTCAGTAATTGAAAACCTAGTTAGTTTAGATGAAATTACGATAGTTTTCCGTTGCTGGGTGTGAATATCAGAAATTTTGAACAAAAATTTTTGAAATTATATTTATTTTAATTCAGCCCATTTTTTCGTTTAATTAGCCGGCGAATTTCTCTCGCGACGGTGCGAGACCAAAAAATCGCTAAAACTTTGAAACTAAATATGTTTTCAAAATTCCAAACAGCATTTGTTTGTTGTGAAAGTAAATGTAGTTCATGGTAAAAGTTTCGAAGAAATTTATTTTTCGAGCCAAGTCAGTGGGCGGTTTTTAGAGACACACGCTCGATTTACAATGTTATCTAATATCTAGAATATATTTATTTATTTATTGAAAGGAAACAAATTCCGAATAACAATACGTCAATACCTGCCTGACCATGCAGGCAGTTGAATTAATAAAAGGCGTACGTTTGCAACTGTAAATTTTCGACTTTATTTCAAAGTCATCATCAGTTGATTCACGTGCACGGTTCAAATAGTTAATAGACATAGATTAACCGTAGTTGACTGTACCTTTCAAGCAACAATTGCTATTCGCTACTATACTTTTAAACAGTAGCTATACTGATTAGTATCGATCAGTCCTAATATATAAGGGATACAATCTTGAACGGTTTGCAAGTATCGGTATAGTGCCGACGAAGGGCCTTCGCTCGAAACGTCGACTGAAGTTCTCCTTGTATATTTTTTACCAGATTGTTCCACCCCTATCAACCGAAGTTTTGTTATTATTGATACTACCTACACGGCACAGAGTCCAAGATTATATCCCTATCAATCTGAAGCTTTCTTAGTTAGTTAGTAAACGTTTTCCGAGTAGCTGAAGCGAACAACATAAATTTGTAGCAACCCACCCTTGAAACTAATATTCAATTGCAATCAAAGTCGGTCTTATATTTTGAACCATTGCTGCAGGTCCTACCTTTTTTGTAAAATTTAACATCTGCTGAAAACAACGACGTTTGAAGCTTTCATCAACTCTAGGATAGTGAGGTGCAGGCATATCGGTTAGCTATAGTAGAATATTGAATTTCACTGTATCGATTTACACGTCTGCGACATTCCAACTAAATTACTAGATACCGCACGCTTAATTAATTGAATATAATATATTATAATATATCATAATTTCAATTGAACCAGCACAAAACACTTGAAACTTTAAGTGAACATTGAGACTTTCATGCAAATCGCATGATATTGTTCGCAGAATGTCCACAAAAAAACGAATTAATAACAAGGAAACTTTAATCATTCATAACTATAAATAGATACACTTTAATAAGTAGTCTTATATTTGACAGTCAATATCCTGATGCTCTGCCGTCCCTTTTGATTACTTCAGGGACAACTTTTCTTAAATGTCCAATATATTTAGCACATTTAGCTGGAGTCATAGTAGCCCAAAAATTGTAGATGCCTTGTTCTAACTCCGCTTTTGACTTCGGTTTTGCGTACTTGCGAAGATAGTGTTTCATCTCATGCCAAACCATCTCGATCGGGTTTAGATCTGGACTCTGAGGAGGAGTTGGCCAATAAATAATTTTCTCCTTTGCCAAGAATTCGATAGCAAGGTGACCTAAAACGATACAAAATGGGAAACGTTATATAGAAACTGTATAAGATCTAGAAATCAGTTACTGATTTTCTGACTTACTAATCTTATCTATAGTGTTGATCATGCAGTGTTTAACTTGTAGAAAACATTCAACCAGTCATGAAATTCCTTCGAGCCTGGCCAATTAAATTATTACGTCATTAAGATTTCATGTGCGTTTTGTGAAATCATCAGTATAGCCTATAGGTGCCGGCCTATGGCATGCACTTACTTTTGTGCTTTGGGTCATTGTCTTGTTGAAATCTGTAATTTCCTTCTGAAAAACATTCGCTGATAAACGGCAGGAGCTGGCCACGTAAAATTTTGTCTACATAAAATTCTTTCCTCATTATACCTGTAAACAGAAGGATATCGGTTGCACCACGTGTGCTTATCCCTTCCCAGACATGAATTTTGTACGCATGCTTTACTTTTGGTTTATGCTTTGGGAGTTCCCCAATTCGTCGGAAACAAATTTTTGCATGCGATTCCATCCAAATCGAAGACTCGTCGGTGAATATGACATTGGAAAAATTATCATTGGAATTATTGGCTTTTTGGCAGAATGTCAGCCTGGCTACTCGGTTCTTCTCTTTGACCAACTGACAGTATTTTGGCCCGCTTTTTATCCAACCCAGCTTTTTCCTGGCTCTCTTGACGGTTGCCTCGGAGACCTGGAGGAAAAACTGTCTCTGCAACATTTTGCAAAGATCTAAAATAAAAGAATAAATAATCAATCGTTACGTAATGTTGAGTAAATACACCGAAAAGGCTCGTTAGAATCAAGTAATATCAAGTGATAAACCACATATTCACATTCGTTGCTGCAGTTCGCAATTTCATCAGAAAACGAGAGAAATTTTCTTACCTACGGCACATATAGTTCGTCGTTTTTAGCCATTTCACAATCAATATATTCATAGTGTTCCATCGTTAGCACCCTTTTGGGATTATAAGTTTGTCCTTTAAATGGCAGCAGCATTTTTAGGTCTCTGCTCGACCACTTGATGAATTGCCTGCTCACAGGACATTCTGACATGTGTAAGTCACGGTTAATCTCGGAAAAGTTTTTGCCCTTCTTGTGAAGCATCATTATTCGTTCTTTCGCATAAAGCGGAATTCGCGTGCCTGGCATCTTCGTTTTCGTGGCGTCAGTGGCGATGGCCAGTGTGATATACATGCGGCTGATGTACGCGTATTTATATCATCTAGTCAGATACGCGCGTATGTGCCCAATATATACGCGTACATGCCCAACAGATATGCGTATATACCCAACAGATACGCGTATATACCCAACATGCAAATACGCGTATACCCAACAGATATACGCGTATGGTAATCAATGAGCTCACACGCATAGCATACATTGAACATTAGTTTTAATGTAGTATAAATAAAGGGGTTTAAATCGTTGGAGTTATCAAATAATTCATCAGTACCATTTAAACGTCGATTTGGTACGTACTTTGTAATTAACAATTTTCTGCCTTGTTTTTATATCAGTTAGATGACACAGCCATAAAATGCTGTCATATTGCCTCCTCTCCTGTAAAAAAACTATGCCGCTATAGAGTATAGTGCAAAAAGCTAACTGGTTTAAAATTAAAGTTAATCATTTGATGAGAGAAATTTAATTAACGCATGCATGCATGCATGAAAAATTTGAAAAATGAAGTATTTTACAATGCCCAGTGCTGTCTTGAAAACCGACATGACTAATCTAAACAATTTCTATGATTATAAGGTTATTAAATGACTGATTGCTATGTATAGGCCCTACTAAACATTTTAACACAACTTTCAAAAATAGTGCAAGGACTATAAACTTAAAGTTAAAGCAGAGCTTTTCAGTGATTGATTAGTGCTTTTTACATGCATGTTTTCGTATAATTGTGGTATGATCTTTATTTTATTGGATTTCTACTTATAACCATATTCATGTATTCTAATTCCAATGAATATCGTATTAGATATTTTTATTATTGATATTTGTTGTGTTGGTGTAATGTACTCAGGCGAATAAGATGCTTGTGTGATGTTACTGAGTGTATACCTGAATGCCTGCCTGGTGTGGATATACACTCAGAGTAACATCACACAAGCATTTTTATTATTATTCAAATCTATAAAACGACGAATTTTGCGTTTCAGTTTCATGCGTATAAGATATATGAACATAAGTCATAACATATACTGTGTCTGCCCACTATATACGCATCATAATGGTCGTGTATATCCACATTAATCGCACGCGTATCGTAATCATAACACACGCGTATGGTAATCTTAAGATATGCGCGTCGTAGTTATGAGACACGCGTATCATAATCATACGATACGCGTATGGCACATAATCATGAGATACGCGTCACGTAGTCTTAAGATACGCGTATCCTACGCACTTCATACGCGTATCACTTGGATAGCGTACGCGTAGCATACGCTTATAATACGGGTATGCTACGCGTATCATACGCTTATGATACGCGTATGTATCATACAAATATACATATGTATCATAGGCAGACTCAGACAAAACAAACCAACAAAAGTAAATGAGCTGAGTATAAGTGGAAATAATTTAACAAATTCAGAAGACATTGCAGAGGGCTTTAACGAATTCTTTTCAAATATTGGGCCTGACTTAGCTAGCAAAATTGATACTTCGAATTACAATTTTCAAGAGTATATTAAGAAACCTAAATCAGAATTCACTGTATTTGAGTCAATTACCACCAACAAAGTTTATTATCTCCTACGTGGCCTCTCTAGTGCAAAAGCCACTGGCATTGACAAAATTTCAAGTAAAATTTTAAAACTAGCAGGACCTGCTATCTCCAGTTCATTAACTTATATTTTTAATCAGAATATTACATTATGCACTTTTCCCGATGAATGGAAAATGGCAAGAGTATCACCTCTTTATAAAAATGGCCAAAAAATTTGCCTGGTAACTATACCGACCAATTTCTGTTTTGCCAGCTGTTAGCAAAGTTATGGGAAAGAATTTTATATGACCAACTCTATGATTATTTGACGAAATTTCAGCTACTTAATGATTGTCAATTTGGCTTTCGCAAATCTCACTCAACTGCTACAGCATTACCAGACTGTACTAATAGTTGGTATATGAATATTGACAAAAAATTATTTAACTTGGTTGTACTAATTGACTTTAAAAAGGCATTTGATACTGTCGACCACCAGTTTTTACTAAAAAAACTCGAAATTTATGGCGTAAAAGGAGATGCTTTGGCTCTACTAAAATCGTACTTGATAAATCGCACTCAGAAATGCCAAGTTAATGGAACTATTTCATCGGAGCGGTTGATTAAGTGTGGCGTGCCACAAGGCTCTATTTTAGGGCCATTATTCTTTTTATTATATATTAATGACTTGCCTCATGCAGTGTCTAAAGGCCGGCGCACACTGGAGCTATGTGCTTAGCCAAATTTCATTCGTGCCCATTGTCGTAAGGAGATAACTCTCGTGTTCGGGCAATTTACGAACAACTTTTGTCATTCGTGCCACTTACGCCAAATATCAAACATATTTGATCATTTCTGCCTCGCGTGCCAAAATCTTTCCGTGTGCGGCGAACGAAAGCCTTTTGCTTACGGATTGTCTTAACAGCGCATGCGTAGTATACGAAAGTAAACATCCAAGATGGCGGCGCAAAATGAATTGCTGGCCGAGGCAATTGCGCCGCCATCTTGGATGTTTACTTTCGTATACTACGCATGCGCTGTTAAGACAATCCGTAAGCAAAAGGCTTTCGTTCGCCGCACACGGAAAGATTTTGGCACGCGAGGCAGAAATTATCAAACATGTTTGATATTTGGCGTAAGTGGCACGAATGACAAAAGTCGTTCGTAAATCGCCCGCACACGAGAGCTATCTCCTTACGCCAACAGTCACGAATGACATTTTGCTAAGCACATAGCTCTAGTGTGCGCCGGCCTTAAGCAAAACAAAACCTCGACTGTTTGCTGATGATACAAACCTAACAGCTGCGGGAGAATCTATAAATGATGTTGAAGCTGCAATGAATTCTGATTTAGAAAACCTTAGGAAATGATTAATTGCCAATAAACTAAGTTTAAATGTGGCCAAAACAGAATTTATATTAATTGGATCTAAACCAATGATAAAAAGTATCTCAAATAGACAACCAAACATTATCATAGAAAACAAACCAATTAAACAAGTATATGATTGCAAAACTCTTGGAGTGACTGTTGACCAGCATTTGTCTTGGAAGAATAATACTGAAACAATTTGCAAGAAAATAACATCCGGGATATCAGCTCTTCGTCAATTAAAAGAATTTGTTGAGAAAGATACACTTGTCTCTGTGTATAATTCTATTGTCCGCCCATACTTTACATATTGCTGTGAAGTATGGGATGTGTTTGGTGAAACACAACCAAAACGCCTCCAAAAGCTCCAAAACAGAGCTGCTCGAATCATAATGAATATGAGCAATGATGTAGATCATCTGGTTGCTTTAGATGCTTTAGACTGGAAGCCACTTAAAACGGAAAGAATAAAGGCTAAGTGCAAACTGATGTTTAAATTGTTGAATAAAATGGGTCCTAAATCACTTACTGATTTATTTACTTTCAAAAGTGAAATGACAAATTATAAACTTCGAGATGTGGAAAGTACTCTTTGCTTACCACAGCCGCGTACAAATAGCTTGAAAAAAATTTCATGTTTGACGGGGCACACATTTGGAATTCTTTACCAACCGAAATTAGAGAGAGCAACTCCATATGTCCTTTGAAACTAAAATCGCTATACTCACATTTTTGAATACTCACATTTTTGAATAGCATTATTATTCTTATACTTATATAATTATGTATATATATATATATATATATATATATATATATATATATATATATATATATATATATATATATATATATATATATATATATATATATATACATAATTATATAAGTATAAGAATAATATATAGCGGCTGGGATTCGAACCCGCGACCTTCGTATTTCTAGAACGATGCTCTACCGTCTGAGCTACAAGGTCAAGCTGAGAACGACTTGTTAAGTTATGATGTTAGCAAGTCGTTCTCAGCTTGACCTTGTAGCTCAGGCGGTAGAGCATCGTTCTAGAAATACGAAGCTGAGAACGACTTGTTAAGTTATGATGTTAACAAGTCGTTCTCAGCTTGACCTTGTAGCTCAGACGGTAGAGCATCGTTCTAGAAATACGAAGGTCGCGGGTTCGAATCCCAGCCGCGGTCAAGTAGAATTTTCTGCTTGCCCGGTTTGGTATACACTCGTCTGAAAACAACTCAAAAACCATTACATAACGTTACACGAGTGGAATCGTAAACGTGGGAAACCACAACATTCATATATATATATATATATATATATATATATATATATATATATATATATATATATATATATATATATATAAATAATAAAAAATATATAAATATTTGCTCATATTTATTTATTCGAGCATTCTCTTTTGTGCCGCATGAGTCAACATGCATAAATAAACAGGTATATCACGCGTCGGTGTCCCTGAACTTTGTTCTATCATACGATTACATGCGCAGTTTACTCCATCATAGGCTATATCCAAGAATGAACTGATGTTAGAATATGATGATGTTGTAATGTGTTTAATAAATCTTTTAATCTTTGTGTGTGTGTATTTCTTCCTTTTAAGTGCCCATCCAGGGTCACAAGGCCTGAACAAACCGTAATGGTTTTAGCTTACGAGTGGAAGGAATACTATCGTATAAGTTAAACAGCGATATATATACTTTCGTGAAACAAACACGTACAAAATATCCGTACCTTTATATTTGCTCACTCCGGTTTGAGCACTCTAGGCACTACATTTTTGTGGCACTGAGGTAATGTATAAGCCCTTTAGTAAAAATGATAAAATATATTAGGTCGTAGGGGGTCCCCGTAGACTGATACACTAAAGAAGATATACCGCTACTCGGATACAGAAACATGAAACAAACATGATAAATATCTACCTTTATATATATATATATATATATATATATATATATATATATATATATATATATATATATATATATATATATATATATATATATATATATAAATTATAATTTTTACAAAATTATACAGTGTTCTCCGGATTGTAATTATTTGTTTTGAGCTTTCGACTCGGTACTTCGAGCCTTCATCAGAAAGATTGATCATTTGAATTTTCGCGCTGTTGTTGACGTTGTTGAAGTCTGTGGGAACGTCTGATTGGTTGATGGATTTCAATATGTTGGTTGCCATTAGTTACTATCGAATGCGGGTGATTATTGTTATCATGAGACGGTGTAGGGAAGGAAGTTGAGGGTGGGTTAAAGGTTAATGAAGATGAATTAGGAGATTTGTGAGAGCGTTTCAGTTGTAAGTAAATTGTAGGGATGTCAATGTGACGGTTAAATGTTTGTTTGTCTAAACTATGCCACGCTTCTTTAAACTCACGGGCATGTTTAGTAGTTGCTTGTCCTAGGCATCTCGTTTGAGACCAGTCAAATTTGTGTCCGTTGTCGTCTGTGTGTTTAGCTGGAAGTGAGCTATGGTCATGTCTGTTGATTGCGTTCTGGTGTTCTGTTAGTCTTGTCTGAATCTTTTTAGAAGTTTGTCCAATGTACTTATCCGGACAGTTTTTGCACGGGAAGATATAAATGGCGTTATGTTTATCCGTTATATGTGTCTTGTCTTTGTGTTTAGTGAAGTTGGACCTAAGTTTGCATGTTGGTTTGTGTGCAACGTCAATGTTGAAAGGTTGGAGGAGTCTAGCTGCCATTTCTGATGTAGTGTGTATGTAAGGAAGTGTAATCCTCGTTTTTGTTTGGTTAAGTCGGTCCGTGTTAGTTTGTTGTTTATGTTGTAGCACCTTATTAATGAAGTCTAAAGGGTAGTCATTTTTGTAAAAAGTAGAGTATAAATACTTGCGTTCGTCTTGTTTGGATTGATCAGTGTTACAATGTGTGTCAATTCTGTTGAATAGAGTCTTTATGCAACTGACTTTATGTTGTATTGGGTGATTGCTATTGTAATTTAAAATTTGATCAGTGTGTGTTTTCTTGCGATAAACTTGTGTGGTTAAAGTGCCGTTGTCTGTTTTTGTTATTAGGACGTCCAAAAAAGCGAGTTTGTTCTCATGTTCTTCCTCTTTGGTAAATTTGATGTTCTTAGTGGTGTTGTTAATTGTTAGTAGGATGTCGTCTGTTTTGTCCTTTTTGACAGTAGCAAGTACATCGTCTACATACCTGTCCCATGTTTTAATGTCGTCATTGTTTGTAACAGCTTTACTTTCCAGATCTTGCATCAGACATCAAATCGACATCTTGCATCGGACACCTTGACATCTTGCATCGGACACAAATTTGACTGGTCTCAAACGAGATGCCTAGGACAAGCAACTACTAAACATGCCCGTGAGTTTAAAGAAGCGTGGCATAGTTTAGACAAACAAACATTTAACCGTCACATTGACATCCCTACAATTTACTTACAACTGAAACGCTCACACAAATCTCCTAATTCATCTTCATTAACCTTTAACCCACCCTCAACTTCCTTCCCTACACCGTCTCATGATAACAATAATCACCCGCATTCGATAGTAACCAATGGCAACCAACATACTGAAATCCATCAACCAATCAGACGTTCCCACAGACTTCAACAACGTCAACAACAGCGCGAAAATTCAAATGATCAATCTTTCTGATGAAGGCTCGAAGTACCGAGTCGAAAGCTCAAAACAAATAATTACAATCCGGAGAACACTGTATAATTTTGTAAAAATTATAATTTAATAAAATGCCTGGATTACAAATCTTCAAATCTATTAAATAAATATATATATATATATATATATATATATATATATATATATATATATATATATATATATATATATATATATATATATATATATATATATA